TTTTGTCAGCTTTTCGTATCGTGTGATTGCATTCTAGTATTAAAATCTAATTCATATTCAATTGATTCCTACACTAAATGCTTCATATTGTTGTTATGGAGACATTAATTTAACTTTTCTTTGCCTATTTATTGCATAATATTGCATTACTGTGTATTATAATATTGTAATCAATAAAAACTTTTGTTTTTGCTAATGATTGTCAACAAATGTCTACTGATTTTATATTAATGGGAATTTAATTAACTAATAATCTTTGTGGCTAACAATAAAGATACTGTACCTGTAGTCTTGGTTTGAAAAATTTTCACTCACACTCACGACAAAATTTCTATTGTGAATCATTCACTCATGTTAAAAATGTTCACGTTCACTCACGATCACACGGCCCGTGAGTGTGATTCACGCGTGAATGCGACACTTTTACCAAGACTACTTCCAAGTACTGCATATTTAGCTTCATGTTTTGGCTGTCATTGCGCTAAACGTGTAGACAATGACATTGTTTAATACAGGATTAGGATTACAATGTATTGAAATGATTTGATGGAAAATTTATGAATAACGCTTAAATGAGGAAAAGGATAGGAAATATTTTCAATTAATTGTAAATAGCATTGAATGCAAATTATATTATACAACAAATAAACCAATTGTCACAACACGTCAAAACTGAAAGGAAATCCATAGCAGAGCCTATTTAATAAATAAATAAATTTAATTGCAATAATGTTCACAACATCTAAAAATGTATTTATGTTAAAATGTTACCACAATTGAAATTAATATTCCTTAAGGTTATCTCAATTGTAATCTTATTTATAAATATAATTGTGTGCACAGAATATATGTGCGGAATTCCGGGAACTTCTCTCAAAAGTAGTCTTAAAACGGAACTCAATAATGAAAAAGCAGTGGCAGAAGGTTTCAAAGTTAAATACAGGTATTATACAAATATATTCATTCAATAACAGCTATTGGAATAATTGTTCAAAACTTATATAAAAAACTATTAAAAATTATTAGCTGTGATTATAACGACGCGCCGTTTCTAATCGGTTACAATGAAAGAGAGTGTATGGACGGCATATGGACTCAATCCATACCTAAATGTGGTATTATTAACAATAGTTTGTAAAACACATACAATTTATCTGAAGCCTAATAAATTGTAATTACTAGCAACTCTATATACGGGCAAATATGTCTACAACTATACCCTAAACGGCAATGCAATCAACATATCACTGGAAAATTCTGCCAAAATTTCGGGACTCGCAGTGAAAGTGTCATCAATAGAGCCGATAGGAGTGGTCAATATAAAGCACATCCCATCGCCCGAGTGTTTTGTGGCCAACATAACAGTCAAAGAGACGCTTTCCGTACATTTGCCCAAAAGATATTCAACATTATTTCATTGCCCGACAAAAGACGTCGACTATTGGACGCATCCAATCGTGTCGTGGATTTTGATTACATTCAGCGAGAAATTCCGAAACTGCGAACTCGTGTAACACGAGTTCGCAGTTTCGGAATTTCTCGCTGAATGTAATCAAAATCCACGACACGATTGGATGCGTCCAATAGTCGACGTCTTTTGTCGGGCAATGAAATAATGTTGAATATCTTTTGGGCAAATGAACGGATAGCCCCTCTTTGACTGTTATGTTGGCCACAAAACACTCGGGCGATGGGATGTGCTTTATATTGACCACTCCTATCGGCTCTATCGATGACACTTTCACTGCGAGTCCCGAAATTTTGGCAGAATTTTCCAGTGATATGTTGATTGCATTGCCGTTTAGGGTATAGTTGTAGATATATTTACCCGTATATAGAGTTGCTATTAATTACAATTTATTAGGCTTCAAATAAATTGTATGTGTTTTACAAACTATTGTTAATAATACCACATTTTGGTATGGATTGAGTCCATATGCCGTCCATACACTCCCTTTCATTGTAACCGATTAGAAACGGCGCGTCGTTATAATCACAGCTATTATTAATAGTGTTTAATATTTTATAAAAGTTTTGAACAAAATTATTCCAATAGCTGTTATTGAATGAATACAAACCTGTATTTAACTTTGAAACCTTCTGCCACTACTTTCTCATTATTGAGTTCCGTTTTAAGACTACTTTTGAGAGAAGTTCCCGGAATTCCGCACATATATTCTGAACACAGAATTATATTTATAAATAAGATTACAATTGAGATAACCTTAAGGAATATTAATTTCAATTGTGGTAACATTTTAACATAAATACATTTTTAGATGTTGTGAACATTATTGCAATTAAATTTATTTATTTATTAAATAGCCTCTGTTATGGATTTCCTTTCAGTTTTGACGTGTTGTGACAATTGGTTTATTTGTTGTATAATATGATTTGCATTCAATGCTATTTACAATTAATTGAAAATATTTCCTATCCTTTTCCTCATTTAAGCGTTATTCACAAATTTTCCATCAAATCATTTCAATACATTGTAATCCTAATCCTGTATTAAATAATGTCATTGTCTACACGTTTAGCGCAATGACAGCCAAAACATGAAGCTAAATATGCAGTACTTAGAAGTAGTCTTGGTAAAAGTGTTGCACTCACGGGCCGTGATCGTGAGTGAACGTTAACATTTTTGACAGGCACCGTGAGTGAATGATTCACGATAGAAATTTTCACTTGTGTGTGAAAATTTTGTCGTGAGTGTGAGTGAAAATGTTTAAAATTACCAAGACTACTTGGAAATACACTAGCTTTATTGTTTAGTACAAAGATTACGAGTTAATTAAATTCCCATTAATATAAAATCAGTAGACATTTGTTGACAATCATTAGCAAAAACAAGAGTTTTTATTGATTACAATATTATAATACACAGTAATGCAATATTATGCAATAAATAGGCAAAGAAAAGTTAAATTAATGTCTCCATAACAACAATATGAAGCATTTAGTGTAGGAATCAATTGAATATGAATTAGATTTTAATACTAGAATGCAATCACACGATACGAAAAGCTGACAAAACATTTAAATAAAAATGTAATGTGTTTTTCATAACAACTTCAATGTTATAATAAATGCAGTGAATGTTCTCAATGGAGAGAAGCAATGGTCGCTCGTATTTGGCCGACGGATCAGTTATAGCGAGACAAACGCCGAGACATCACTGCATTTGGTGGAGACTTAGGACTCGCACCGAGAAATGTCTTCTCATCACATGGACTGCCGTTTCTCTCCTATTCTTCGGCTTAGTGTCAACTTTTGTTATATTGTTGTCACTTCAATATCATTATAAAACAAATGGTAAATCATTATAGTTTAGGATATAATAAGATGACCATTATTTTAATGTATGAAAAATATCTAACTATATTGTTAAACAGTTTGCCTAACGAACGTTTGTATAAAATCAGGTTAGTTTTAGACGACATAATATTATAATTAATGTAATATTAAATTAATTTTACTACTCAACCAAACTTATCCAAATAGCCTCTCGGATAATGTCATATATCGACGAGTCTGTGCCCCCGTGTCATGACTTTTACCGGTTTGCGTGTGGAAAGTGGTTAAACACATCACATATTCCCGAAGATAGCGATTTTATCTCTAGTTTTACTCAAATACAAGATAAAATTGACCATCAATTAAAAGGTGACATCAATTCATATTTGGCACAAATAAAATATGTTATATATTCTGCAGACCTGTTATCACTGCCTCTCAATGAAAGCGATTCTTTAACCGTTAAAAACATGAAGAATATGTATAATTCTTGTTTGAATTTAAGTGAG